ATAGCTTACTATTTTCCTCTATAAGAATTCGTATAGTCTATATATTATTATATTCTATAGCTAATAGGGACGGAATTTATAGTCGTAAAAATATAAGTAGCCGGCTAAGGAAAATCGCTTCCTTTAACGCTTTTAAAAGAGCTAGTAGCTCTGCCTCTATACTTAATATAGTAATAGTAGCTTACCTTAAAGCTCTCTAAGTAATAGTTCCTCTAAAAAGGGATATAATATACCCCTATAAGCTCTTTCTATCTAAGGAATTATCTATAAAGGACGAATCGCTTAAATAGAGGAAGATTTCGGTAGCTAATTTCTTCCTTTCCTACCCTCCTAAGCGTAGACTATATAATCTCGTTAAATAGAGATAAAGGATAGCTCGGTCTACTACTTCTTAATGCCTAGGGCTAGGATTCTAGTTATACCTAGCTAGCTAGGAGACCGTAAAAGAGATATCCGGTTTAGTAGAAATAGCTAAAAAAAGTAGGGAGCCTACCTTTTATTAATATTAGTGTTTCTCTTACTCCTTAGCTTAAAAGGACGGATTAGGTAAAAGCTCTTTATTTAATATAGGCGTAGAGGGAAGCTTCTTTTCGAGGGAATTAGGAAGGAATTTATAAGCGACCTTATCGATATAGGCGTCCTAGGTAAGCTAGATAGTCTATTAAGACCTATTTTAAAGGATTTATATCCCTAGGAACTACTTTAGCTCCCTTAGCCTAGTTATCTTATACCTTTATTATAGGCCTTATATAGCCTCCCTAGTAATAGCTTCTTCCTCTTTTAGGTAGGCCTAGATAATATTATCGATATAAAAGAAGACTATAATTTTACCCTTCTATATTATATATAGTTCCTAAGGGACTTTCCTAAAGCCTAGGGCTTTAAGGGAACCTATTAAATACTATTACTTAAGAAGGGGTAATCTTTATAGTCCGTATAAAGCTTTCCTAAGCTATAGAACCTTTCCTAGCTTTTAGAAGCCTAGTAGAAGGCGTATATAGATAACTTCTTCTTCCTTAAGTAAGTAGTTAATAAAGGCGTTAACTATATCTATTTAATCGAGCTCGAGGTCGAATTCTACTACTATAGCTATAAGGGTCTAAAAAGATATCCCTACTAAGGTAGTTGCCTTAGTAGGTAAATCCCCTTTTTCCTATTAATTCCTATAGATAACTAGCCGGGCTTTATACTTTTAAAGGAAGCTATATTTATTAGACTTATAAATAAAGACTTACTTATAGCTAAGGACCTATTTTCCTCTTACCTTTTCCTTAAGGACCTCTTTAAAAGACCCTATCTCTTTATATAAGGCTAGGTAATCTTTCTAGGCCTAGAAAAACTTATCTCTAAAAGGGTGTCTTTCTAGCTTCTTTTAGTTTACTAGTAGGTCCGGGAGGTCTCTTTTATATACCTTCCTTACTAATAGTAGCTTAAAAAGCTAGCCTATTATTATAAGAATATACCCTTATATTCCTATTTTACTGTTATAAAGAAATAATAGGTATAGGGAGGCTTTATAGAATAAGCTAGTAAAAAGAGGCTCTATAATATAGTCTAAGGGAATAATCCTTAAAAGATAAAGACCTCTACTAGATATCTATACCTTCCTCTAGGAAAAGCGGGTCAGGATAAGCATATCCTTACAAACAAAAATATGCATAAAATGCATAAGTCAATTACGAGCAGAACGAATACCCTATGGCCTATTTTGGCCTAGCGGTTCCAAAGATAATCGCGATACGAGAATAGGTAGGGCATAGAACATTCTAGTTAAATCCACTACTCATGCTAGAACCCATAGTCTTACGTTAACCATAACGCCACAATCAGACCACCTACTAAGTTAAGAAGATATACTATAGATAGAGCCTTTTAAGAACTATCGAATGTGCTAGAAAGCTGACTAATTAGTCTACTAGTAGGCGAGCAATGGTCTATAAAAGACGAAGGATTTCCCTAGGAGTAGTAGATAGAATAAGTAAGTTCGCATGTATCTTTTACAACGCTATTCTTTTAATATATTATTCAGCCCCTTATATGTTCGTTATAAATTCCGGACGAAATCCTACCCTATACTCCTTCGACCGATCTTTCCGCTTACGTTATCGATTACCCGATTCTACGCTTATTGCATATACCTTCTTATAACTATAAATGCTTTATAAGAACCGTCTTCTATAGGCGTAAGATAAAAGTTAGAAAAACGATCGAAATAAGGGAGAGGTTAGTCTTCTTTTATATCGGGCCCTATACCTTCCTTTACTTCTCTAAGTAGGGATAAATAAGTAGTTAGGTAATCCCTTAAGAGAGGTACCTTTCCTACCCCCTTAAGGGTCGAGACGGGAAGACTAACGGAGAAAGCTACTTCTAGATCTTCTTCTTACGTAGGAGGAGGCGTAGGGAGGTAGGCGTATTCTAGCTCTACCGCTTTCCTATAGTTTCCTTCTTCGTCTAGATTATCTAATCTAGCAGCTTCCTCTTCTTTAAAGTTAGCGTTATCCTCGACTACTTTAACGTCGGTTTCTTCTTTTATTTCCTCGTTTAGGGCCTCTTCTTATAACTATTAAGAAGGGGGGATTTAGATCTTTTAAATTAGCTAACGTTATAAGAGTAAGAGGGGCTATTAATCCCTCTTTCTATTAAAGAAGCTAGATTCATCGAAAATTATATCCCTAGTTAAAATAACCTTCTATAAAAGAGGAATCTAGATCTAAAAGATATTCGTAAAGTATAACTAATAAGGTAACTAATAAAGGCTCTAGGATTAAGCTTTCTTTTCTTCTTCCTTTTTAACTATATATCGGTAGTTATAGTATATACCTACTTCCTTTAAAAGTATAAGGCCTAGCTAGTTATCTACGGGAACTAGTAGGAAAAAGGGGATCTTCCTACTAAGGCAACTACCTTAGTAGGGATATCTTTTTAGACCCTTATAGCTATAGTAGTAGAATTCGACCTCGAACTTAATTAGATAGATATAGTTAACGCCTTTATTAACTGCCTACTTAAGGAAGAAGAAGTTATCTATATACGCCTTCTACTAAGCTTCTAATAGCTAGGAAAGGTTCTATATCTTAGGAAAGCTCTATATAGACTATAAAGATTACCCTTTCTTTAGTAATAGTATTTAACCGGTTCCCTTAAAGCCCTAGGCTTTAAGAAAGTCCCTTAGGAACTATATATAATATAGAAGGGTAAAATTATAGTCTTTTTCTACGTCGACGATATTATCTAGGCCTACTTAAAAGAGGAAGAAGTAACTATTAGGGAGGCTATAAAAGGCCTATAATAAAGGTAAAAGATAACTAGGCTAAGGGAGCTAAAATAGTTCCTAGGGATACGAATCTTTTAAAATAGGTCCTATTAAACTATCTAGCTTACTTAGGACGCCTATATCGATAAGGTCGCTTATAAATTCCTCCTTAATTCCCTCGAAAAGAAGCTTCCCTCTACGCCTATATTAGATAAAGAGCTTTTACTTAATCCGTCCTTTTAAGCTAGGGAGTAAGAAAAACACTAATATTAATAAAAGGTAGGCTCCTTGCTTTTTTTAGTATTTCTACTAGACCGGATATCTTTTTTACGGTCTCCTAGCTAGCTAGGTATAACTTAAATCCCAGCCCTAGGCATTAAGTGTTACGGCCAGGCACATACGAGCCTTGACGGCTATAAAGATGTATTGGCACTATGAACAAAGACTCAAAGCTAAGGAGCAAGAAAGGAAGACTAGACTACACGACCGAGCGGGCCCTTATATAGACACGAGGTCGCGCGTGGGCACGTGATGCTGCTTGGGCACGTGACACTGGTGAGGTTCTGCGCTGGCGGCTCTACGCCGGCGCCCAGGGTCGTGACACTACCCCCCGTCTAAGGCCTTGATATGCGTATCAAGGTAGTCAGTCGTGGCGGCGGGTTCTTGGTTTCACGGCTTTCTCTGCTGTGTCGTCATCGTCTCGTTCCTCGCAGCCCTCCTCCGCTGCAGCACATTCGATCCAGTATTGCAGGTTGACGGGTGGGCCTGCTGCGTCCGGATGTTCATCGTGGAAAATCTTCAATGCCATTGGTGCGTTACGGAAATTCCTAGCCGGGTACCAGGTCTCATCAGGGTCACATCCCTTCCATAAGACCTGGTATTCCAGTCGTCGACTCCTACCGGTTACTCGAGACTGCTGGACTTGATCAACCTCCCACTCGGGTTCTCCGTTGATCTCCTCGGGTGGCGGAGGTGACTGGATCTGCTGGGGCAAGGGTTATCGGCTGCTTTTCGAAGACGGTCGGCGTGGAATAGGTTCTTCATTTTGTACGACTCGGGCAGCTGCAGTACGTAGCTATGACCGCGTTCTTCCAGGATTACGAACGGACCTGACCATTGGTTATCTAGCCGAGTAGTCGGAGCGTTCGTGGCGAAGCCTTTCCTGCTGAGAAAACTCGGTCACCGATGGCAAAGTCGGTTGGTCGTCGTTTCCTATTAGCCTGTTCCTTCTGACGTTCTTGAGCGGCGGTGGCAGCATTCCTGGCGTCTTCCTGGGTTTCCTGGGCGGTCTGCACAAGTTCCCTAGCTCTGGCGGCGGGTCCGGTGGCAGCGGTCTTGTCAGTCGGGGGCAGTGACAGGGGGTTCCGGATATCTCGGCCTAGGGCTACTTTTAACGGTGCCATGTCGATGGAAGAGTGCCAAGACGAGTTATGGGCGAAGTCGAGGGCGGGCAGCAGGGAACTCCAGTTATCTTGATGCTTCGTCACGTAGAATCGTAGCTTTTGATCTAGGTATTGATTTGTAACTTCTACCCCCCTTGGGTCTGAGGGTGTAGGGAGCTTCCATGACGATGCTTCGTTCCGTGAGCCGGTTAATCTCTGCGAGGAAGGCAGAAATAAACTGTCCAGCGTTGTCAGAAATCCATACGAGGGCATACCGAAGAAACGATAGAGGTAGCGGAAGTAGCGGCTAGCTAAGACTTCTGCCGTATCGTTTTTCTTTCCTGGGAGCGTGGCGATAATCCGGCTTAGCTTGCAGACGAAGGTCCAAACATAGTCATATCCGTAACGGTCTTTCGGCATATCCTTCCCGTCACATTCGACGTGCTCCCAAACAGAGGTCGGTACGGGCAGTGGATGGAGCAGTCCAGGGGTCTTGTCTCGAGGGGTTTGTTGCGGCGGCAGTCGTGGCAGTTCCGAATATAACGACGGATATCCTCCTTCATCCTTGGCCAGTAGAAGTCTCGTTGGAGCAGCTTGATCACCTTGTTCTGTCCGGCGTGAGCGAAGATCTGGGGTTCGTGGGCTTCGCGAATGAGCGCGGTCTGAAGAAACGTCTGCTTGTCTGAGGTCTGGGCTGGTACGACCAGGTGTGTTCCATGGGTACCGAGGTCTTGGAGGAGGTTCTCCTGGCGGATCAACGAAACGAGTTCGGCTCCCTTCGGGACCGAGTTCGGGTCTAGTTCTGGGCGGTCTTGATCGGGCGTCTGCTGTATCCCTCGGTCTTCTGGGGTCTGTAGGGCACTCGTGGCCCTCAGAACTAATGGTCTAGTAGGCTTAGGTTCGGGACTAAAGTTCTGAGGGGGCAGGTTGCCGGCGGCCGTAGGGTCTAGAGAGTCGGTCGCGAAGCCTAGCCTTTCCGGAGGGATCAGGGTCACCGTGCGTTCCTCGGCTTCCCGGGCCTTTACGGTAGGGAGCTCCGCTGTCTTCCTGGAGAGGGCATCGGCGACTACGTTCAGTCGACCGGGGCGGTAGAGGAAACGGATGTCGAACTGGGCGAGAAAGTCGGACCATCTGATCTGTCGTACCGAGAGCAGGCGCTTCGTAGAGAAATGGACTAAGGCTTCGTGATCGGTGATCACATCGAACTTCTGGCCTAAGAGCTCTGGGTAGAAGTGCTCTAGACTCTGTACGACGGCGAGGAGCTCTCGATCTTGGATTGGGTAGGCTCGCTCGGCCGGGGTCATGGTCTTAGAGAAGAATCCAACGGGCTTCCAGGTCTGATCAGGCTGTTCCTGCCATAGAACACCAGCTGTGGCATTCCGGGAGGCATCGGTCTCCAGTCGGGTCGGCAGTTCTGGTCTAAAGAAGGCGAGGACCGGGGCTTCGATAGCCAGGCGCTTGAGTTGATCAAATGCTTCGCGTTGCTCCGGGCCCATCACAAAGGCAACATCCTTCTTAAGCAACCGGTTCAAGGGTTCTGCCACTCCGGAGGCGTGGTAGCAGAAAACACGGATGAAGTTGCATAGGCCAACGAATGATCGGATCGCGGTGCGGTCTCGGAGGTCTTCAAACTTCCAGTCTTGTATCGATCGAACTTTCCGAGGGTCGACACTAAGGCCCACACCGGCTTCAAGCAGAACGCCGAGGTAGTCAACCTTGGTCACGTTAAATCTAGACTTCTTGATGTCTCCTGGGGGATGGCCTGATGGAGTCGCCAGATCACTTCTTGACAGTCTTTCCAGTGGTCTTCTTCTTTATCCGAGTAGATCAGGACGTCATCTGCGTAGGCGCTGGCGCACCGGTCGAGGAGATCGTGAAGCTGCGCGTTGATAAACTGCTGGAACCAGGCGGGACCTACCTTCAGACCGAACGGGAGGACTTTCCAGCGGAAAGTTCCGAAACGGGTGCGAAAGGCGGTCAAATACTCGAGTCAGGGTCCATGCGGAGACGGTGGAAGGCCTGGATCACATCGATCTTCGTGAAGCGTTGAGCTTCACGGCAACCAAAGCAGTACCTTCGAGGGACGGAGCGGGCGTGATGCGACTTTTAAGATGATCGTTCATCCAACGGTAGTCGATGCAGAAGCGGCGGGCGGTCGTGTTCGGTTTCGGAGCGAAGAGGACGGATGCGGCGTGCGGGCTCGGGTCGGGGTCGATGAAGGCTATCTCCGGGGGGGATCGACAGTCTCTTTTTCTTGAGGCAGATACTTTACGGGGGGGCGGGACGATGGGGTCCTGTCGGCGAAAGAGGCTTCTCAAGCTCTAGGACTACATCGTGACCGGGTCGGCTCGAAGGTAGGGTGTGGGCCTCTTTCTTCGAGAAGAATCCTCTAGATGGGTGAGCTGGGGCGGTAGACGACTACGGACACAAGCAACATGCTCAGGGTCTTCTCCTGAGGGAACGGAATGCTTTGTCCCTGGTAGGTCTTCTGATCCGGGAGACTTTAGCAACGGTTCGAGCACTAGGGACGGTCTGGTCAAGGCCGGAGCTTGGCTCGAGCTGGACTGGATCCCGGGGCATCAACGGTTCGAGTTCGTTCCACTGTTCGAATCTCTCGTGAGACTCTACTTGGCAGACCAGGGCGTTAATCAGGGCTTGATCTTCGGAGGCTTGGACCGAGGCGACGGAGACGAAGTCGGTAGCAGGGGCGGTCGTGAGCTGAAAACGGACAGACTTCTTGGCAGACGGAGACTTGGACTGAAACGACGGAGACGGAGTCGGTAACGGGGTCGGGACAGAGGCCGGAGGAGCTTGATCAGAGCGGCGCCAGTTCTTGTGGAGGATCCGGTAGCGTTTCTCCTCTTTCTCGAGCAGGCGGTTCCGCCTCTCAGCGTCGGCCTGGATCTTAGGGTCGATCCGACCCGAGCGGGGCTTGACGAGAGAGCTGGATCGTCGGGAGAACTTGGCGAGGGCAGGAAGATCATCTGGCCAGATGATCTGTCGGGCGGCGCAGTCAAGCAGGAGGCGCTTCTCCCGCATCCAGAAAAGACCGATAAAGATATCATGGCCACACTCAGCTATATCAAATGTCTCGTTTGCGAACGAACGGCCATCGATGACGAAAGTGGCGACCAGCTGTTTCTGGATATAGCCGGCTGGCTTTCCACGGAAGTCTTGGAGGGGAATCCGACTCGGGAGCTCCTTAATCTGGGCTCCGAGTCTTTGGGCGGCGGACTGGGCGAAGGTTGGGCTAACCAGCAAACGGGTTTCGGCTCCGGTATCACAGAGGGAGCGGGCAGGTAAGCTCACACCATCCACTTGGACTTGACTTGGCAGAGTGAATGACTTGCTAGACCTACTCGCTATCTGTGACACCTTAGGGACCATCAAGGAGTCTTGTGATGGTCCTATTCGTTTCCGAATCTTGATCAGAGTCGTTGGCAGGGACAGGGACGGAGGCGACACGGGAGACAGCATGGGTGCGGTCGGGACAGTCGCGAGAGAGGTGCCCTGTTTTCCACAAATAAAGCAGGTGCCATTATCCCAATGGACCCTTTTCTCATCGTCGGTCAAGGCTCTGCCAGCATCACGCGAGGTGATAAGGGTCGAGCCGGTCTTGTTCGGAGTCTTGGCGGTAGTCGGAGCAGTCTTAGTCGGCGCGCGGCGAGATCGGTCGGAAGAGCGGGAGTCCTGTGTCTGCCTCATACTCCTCTTCTGGCAGTGGACAGCGTCCTTAATGAACCCACAGAAAACCTCGTAGGTCACGGACTCGTCACGGGTCTTGGTCAAGAGGCTGTTATCTAGGTTGGCCGGGATGTGCTGCCACAAGGTATGCTTCATCTGGTCCTCGGCACACGACCGGTCGCAGTTAAGTAGTCAAATTCCGCAAGGAAGTCCACAATGTCGGTCTTCCCATTCACGGTAAACTGGAGGCGTTGCAGGCGGTCAAGAGCCTCGGAAAGCTCATTCGGATTGCCATAGGCGGACTCGAGGGCTTGGATCATCTCTGCCACTCCAGAGAAGGGTCGAGTGTCAGAGGAGAAGCGGGTTTCAAGTGCTCGGCGGGCTTTTCCCTCGAGCAGGTTATACAGACAGACCATCCGGCTGTTCTCAGTCCGGAAGGTTCGCACGTCTTCGTCAAATTTGTTCTTTATGCTCAGGATGAAGGAATGGAACTCGTCCTTCTTTCCTGAGAACGTCGCGAGGCCTTGATGCGCGATTTGGCGGCGTCGCTGTACTCGGGGTTCTTGCCCTCTGGGAAGGGGGCAAAAACAGGCCAGGCAGCTTTGCCTGTTGGTCGGAAGGCCGGGCCATTTGGGCCGGCAAAAGCAGTCGAGGGCTCCCGGTGCTGTCGATTTGATTCAACAGACGGAGAGCGTTCATTTAGACGGGCCGTTAAGGCCGCAATCTGTTCCCTCATCTCGCGGATGAGAGCGTCTTGGGGGCTCGGGGCAGCCATGGCTACTATTTCGGATTCAGTGGCTTGGCCAGCAAGCCGGGTGGAACGGCGAGGCTGATCAGAGGGCAGGGCTTCCTCGGATATCATAGTCGCGAGGTGATAGGTGTCGGAAATGATACCACGCGGAATCACGGTCAGATGCCTGCACGAGCAGGGACGGTCGGAGGTCAGACGGGACGAATCCCTTGGTCGGAACGGTTGGTCGGACGGCTACACACACGCGTAGTCTTGGTCGGAACGGACGTGATCTCAGCCTTGAGGATCACTTGGTCGGTGGTCGGAGTCTTGGTCGGAACGGTCAGAACGGATGCGCTGGATTTACGTCAGGCGCGTGTGACGTGAAAGCTCGGTGCCTATTTGCTTAATCGCTGGCAAGCGATCTTATTGAGCTTTGAGTAGTGTTACGGCCAGGCACATACGAGCCTTGACGGCTATAAAGATGTATTGGCACTATGAACAAAGACTCAAAGCTAAGGAGCAAGAAAGGAAGACTAGACTACACGACCGAGCGGGCCCTTATATAGACACGAGGTCGCGCGTGGGCACGTGATGCTGCTTGGGCACGTGACACTGGTGAGGTTCTGCGCTGGCGGCTCTACGCCGGCGCCCAGGGTCGTGACATTAAGAAGTAGTAGATCGAGCTATCCTTTATCTCTATTTAACGAGATTATATAGTCTATACTTAAGAGGGCAAGGAAGGAAATTAGCTGCTAAAATCTTCCTCTATTTAAGCGATTCGTCCTTTATAGATAATTTATTAAATAGAAAGAGCTTATAGGGGTATATTATATCCCTTTTTAAAGGAACTATTACTTAGAGAGCTTCGAAGTAAGCTACCGTTATAACTTTAAGTACGGAGGCAGAGCTACTAGCTCTTTTAGAAGCGTTAAAGAAAGCGGTTTTCCTTAGCCGGCTACTTATTTCTTTATAACTATAAATTCCGTCCCTATTAGCTATAGAATATAATAAAGCGTAGACTATATAAATTCTTAGGGAAAACGTTAAGCTATCGACCTAGCTATAGTATATCGATATCTACTAGTATTAGTTATGCTAAGAGGTCTAAAAGGGACTTATTTCCGTCCGTTAAGTTCTAACGGTATCGATAAAAGCTAACGGCCTTATAAAGCCCCTACTAAAGTAGAAGCTATCTATCTTTTTATAGTAAATTAAGCTAGAAGACGTTCGATAGAAGCTATCCTTAAAGGCCCGCCTTAAGAGTCTATAAGAGGAGCTAATAGCCTATATAAGTAGGTAACGTCTATAGCCGAGGAAGAAGGAAGAGGTTTTTCCCTTTAAAGGGCCCCCTATTTAATTAGGTTTTTCCCTTCTAAGAAGGCCCCCTTTCTTATAGGACTTTCCCCTTTTTAGGCCCCTATTCCTTAAGTAGGTCTAAAAGAGCCTAGGGACCTAAAAGGGCCCCTACTTTCCTCGAGTAAAGGGAGAAGTATAGAGCTAAGAACCTCCTCTATACGCTTACTAGCCTAGCCGTATTAGCTATGCCCTTACTATAAGGGCAGGCTATAGCTAAGGGGGTATATCGCGAAGCGTGGCCTAATTTCGTAGTTCTCGGAGATATCCCTTAGTAAGAGGGACTAAGGAAGCTAAAAACACCTAGTATAAAAGAAGGAAGAAGGAGCTAAAAAGAGGTATAGAAAGGAGGGTAGGAGTATAAGGGGAAGCATAAGTAGCGAGAGATAAGACGGATATACCGGCAACGGCTAAAAAGGAGGGGAAAAACTAGTAAAAGGCTCGGTAGTTAAAAGGATATTAGTAGCTTCTTTAAGTAGGATCTTCTTTATTAATTAAGATGCTAGATAGGTATAAAGAGGGGCGTTAGATAGAGGAAAGAAAGATAAAAAGGCAATATAATAATTACTCCTCTACCTTAATTGCTGCCCCCGTAAGAATTAAATAGCTTAGCCCTACCTATCCGTCCCTTTACTTCTACTTTTACCTTCGTGCATTTTTTATATACTTCTTATATCTCTCTACGCGAAAAAAATGCCTTTAATAATAAGGCGATATATATAAGCTAGGTATATATATACTATAAGTATATTAACGAGCTATTAAGCGCACGCTAGTCTCTAATAATAAGGATAAGCTTACTAAGGACCCTTAGCCTGCCTTAGGCTTATTATAAGACTAGCTAGTTATTAGGGTCTTAGCCGGAGGGTGGGCTAAAGTAGTAGATATACTACTAACCCTTCTACTACGTAGAGGCCGAAAAGTATACGTGCGGGCAAAAGAAGACGGAAATTAACTAAGCGATAGCTTTATTAATTAACCACGTATATTAAAGATACACCTAGGCGCGCTAGCGCACCCGGGCGCCGGGGCGGTACGTATACTCTATAATACTAGTTAATATTATCTAAGATAAAATTTTCGTTATAATACCCTTAAAGGAGCCCTTATAAGAGCCCTTATAAGAGCCCTTTTAAGATACTAAATATAAGTTATACTTACTAGCTAAATAGGACGAGATAGCTATATAATAGGATAAGGTAAATATAGCTATTAAGGAAGAAGGATAAGTATAGCGAGATCTATATAAGGGCAACCTATTATAGAGACGTAATAGTTATACCGGCGCTAGGGCGCTTAATATATTAATTTCTATATATCGCGATAACCTTATTTTATATATACGCTACCGACTTAATAGTCTTAAGTATAGGCGCGGGGAATATACGTATTAAATTATATAGTATCGGCGCTATACCTTAACTAGCTATACTTCCCTATAAAAAAGTTTACTAGCTAGTTAGGGCCGAAAGTTATATAATAAATATATGCCCTTTTATAGTATTTAAGTAGAAAAATCTACTAATGCTAAAGATAACTAGTATTTAATAGTGCCTTAAGGAACGAAGTAACGAAAGGTCCTAATATCCTATAAGAGATAATCTAAAACCGCTAGCGCGATAAAATCCTGCTCTTTAATTGGTCTATTAACTGCCTGTTGCTTTATTTGTTTAGCTAACGCTAAATCTTGCCTTTGAATTAGTATATTTAAAAACCTTCCATAGTTGGTTTGGATTACCGCACGAGCATGCAAGCAATCCCTCCCTCTGCCTGGTTCCAAATACATAGGATCGCATTCGCTACGTCTTGCATTACCCTAAATGTATTGCAATTAGGCAGATAACGCATCCCGATGTGCAAGGGGGAGTCTTAAGTTACACCAAGTGCGGGCTCCAAGCATAATGCAGCTGCAAGTGCAGCTGACTGCACTTAGTACTTTTTCACCTCCAGACCTCTCAAAGGCTACGAGTTGCCATGGTCCATGTATGCACGGTCACAAGTTGGCCTGTTCAAGAGACCAACCGTTGGATGCACTTATATCAATCACTGTAGGATCCCTGACAACGAAGGGCAGTGGTGTGTTGCCGTTGCGGGTTCGTGAGAGAGGGCCCACGGCGACGCTGCTGTACGCCTGCCCGGCCAGCAGAGACCCCTTGCCTTTGCAGCGAATGAGTCACTGACCCCGGCTAGGCTGCTGACCCAAAGGAGCAACATGTAACCTTGCCTACTGTTCCATGAGCATAAGAGCGATATGAATGCCAGTATGCTGCGACAATGTTTTAAACAAGACATATTTTTATCACGGCTACAGCTATGCCCTCTTCCAAGGATCGCCTGTATGTTGCACTCTACGCCCGTGGAGGCGAGGGGTGAGTACTTCGCTTCAATGACGTGCTTCAGCTCGTCCAACTAATACATTTATTAGGTATCATTGGGCCCTTCTTACTGGTCCTAAATCCGACAAGCCTGATGAAACGGGTAGACGATACCACGCCAAACAACACAACATGGTGTGGGAATACAACGAACAGAGCATCAGAATGGCGCCGACTAATATGATATTGGTCCGAGTCCTTGTTGCGAAAGTCAAAGACAAAAATAAACTAAAAACTATCCTAAGAGGTATCCCAGTGAGGCCAGAGCAGCCAGGATGGACCTGCAAGTCTTGGGTAAAGGAAGCATTCGAGGCGCTGCAGGATGGACAGGC